ACTAAACTTGATGGTCTCACTAGCGATCCAAGTACGAAAAACTGAAATCGGGAGGAAGGGATGAGAATACTTACAGCAGGTTCCTTGAAAAACAGAAAGGACAATAGTGAATATTGGTGGTGTAGATCGGTTCGAATCGTAAGCCTCCACGAAATCACGTCTCGGCCTCTACTCAGTTTTCCCGATTGAGAGCAATAATTTTCTTCCTCAAAACAGTTTTGAGAGAAAAATGGCTGAAGGTTTTGTGTGTGTATTCTAAAAACAACTGCTAGACCTAACACTCCCTTTTATAACTAAGTTACCCTAATCATATTAGGGTTTTTATTATATCAAATTTATTAAATCTATATTTAATTAATTGGAATTTAATAATCCTTTTATATCTAAGTTACCCTAATCATATTAGGGATTTTATTATTTCAAATTAATTAAATCTAAATTTAATTAATTAAAATTAAATATTTTGGATTATTAAAACATATATTTAATTAACTCTAAACATATTTTAGTAACGTACAACAAATTGTACATCTTTGCTCGTTTCAATCTTAGGGTGTGACCCTGTAGGTTCTTGTAACGTTAGTAGTAATTATTAGAACAATTCTAATATTACATACAATGAGTGACATCTAGCAATATATCATTGTCACCTAAGTTACAAGAAAATATGATTCGACATTTCATCTTGGTGATTAACTCATTTATGTATTACATCCTTATGTCCTTTATATCTAGAATAGGCACAAGTCTTGGAATAGTCACACTTGTATAGCCCATCTATTGTTTATTGATATCTAGAGTAGACTTTAATTAACGAATAGTTTATGATATCTCATATCAACTTATTCGAGCATGGTCATGCATTTCTAGTCTTACTCAATCAAGTGGCCTGTGATATATTTCCTATAATGTAGGAAGGACAAATGCTATCTTAATCATACACACCCACTACATATATTGAGATATATTCAATAACAGTCTTTATAGAGCAACCAGTTACAGAGCTAGTTTAGTTGCATCAAAACATACAACAATATATGTTGGGATAGTATTGATCTCAAGTTTGAGGATCATACATATAGTCATCACCATGAGCAATGTTATGACTGTCACATAATAATCCAAGACATATTCTCATGGTGGGTCAATCCAATACATTGTTCTCTAACAATACAATCATGTATCAATTCTGACATCTCTATGTCAATGACAACTCGTTGTCATCAATCAATAACATGTTAGTCTTAAGCATATTATTTTTTCTATGCCCATAATAATACTTGATTAGGGATCTTTTAATAATAACAATTATGTCATTATATGGACTTTATTATCTTCCAGTTTATGTTAAACACATATATATAACTGAAAATAATAGTGGCAATGCATTTATTCAATAAAATCGGTAAATAAAAGTATTATTACAATCATCATATGATTGGTCTTTGGGCATACTCTAACAGTTATAATTGATATTAAAAATATGTTCTTCTATTTTTATAATTTATATTATAATTAATATATTTTTATAAAATAAATAAAATTAATTTATCTGACACAGTTAAACTTAAGTGTCATATTTTGTCACAATAACAATTACTTCTCTTAGCTAAGTGGTTGGGAATTGCTCACATCTTTTATAAGTGTAGAATATGGTCTCCCCTAAGTAGGGATGGCAAACGGGTACAATTTCGTGGATTCTGTACCGTACCCGCTTCAATTGGGGCCGGGATGGGTATAACTTTAGTGGGTAGTGGGCGGGTGATGGGTTTGAGACCTTACTCGCACCGCATCCGCCCGCCTACTAAATGCCCATTAAATTTTGGACTATTATGAATTTAGATATAATTTTAGGGTTTGTCATTCGTGTGCCAAAGAACAAAAATATTATGTATTTGTCATTTATATTTCTAGGCTTTAATTATGTCTTTTATTATGGTGTTTTATGTACTTTAATATCTATGTTAACACTTAACTATGATAATCCTTGGTTTATTTTATTATGTTTCTTAATGGACGTGTTTGTTTTATGTTTGTTGCATATGTATGACTTAAGGTTGCTGTAAGGCGGGTCTAGCCGGGTACATCTCCAGTTGGGTAGTGGGTGTGTGGATGGATTTGAGAATGTACCCGCGTGGGCGGGTGTGGATTTGAAAAATTTTACCCATCATGGGTGGTGGGCGGATGGTGGATTTGAAATATTAGGTGGGTATGGGGATGGGGAGAGTATATCTGCACCCGACCCGCCCGTTTGCCATCCCTACCCCTAAGCTATTTATACATTTTTGGATTAATTTTCATCAATAGAATTGTGACACATGTCAATAATTTATTAAGAAAAAATATATGTCGGCGTGCCACGCCAGCTTTCATTAGTTGTTTGACGGTCCAATGATCAAAATTATATTTTTTAACGACAATGACTTTGATGAAAAATGTTCAATCATGGTTATTAAATTGAAAACATCCTAAAACTTAAGTGACTGGGAGTGTGATTTACCCTTAAAAGAATTCTCGTAAAACCAACTACCTCTCCTAGAGAATGGTCCGTGTAGGCAAACCCCACTAAAACTAATAAACTTTTGTGCTCAAAGTTGGCGAATTATTTATGTTTGAGATATTTTTCATGAAAAAGAGAAGACCGTTGGTCAATGATGTTTGACAATGAGAGTTACTTCATTTTTATGGAAACCCAAAAGTTTAATTATTACTTTAATTGGGAAATAATATGTATAAGTAAGTAGCGATTGATTGTGTCAGGGGGAAAGAGAGATTGTGTAGAACCAAAAAAAACACACACACACACAGAATTTCAATGGATAATTTGGCCAAAATTTTTGCTCAAACAAAGCCATTTGTAGCAGTAATCCTTTTGCAGTCTGGGTTTGCGGGCATGTCTTTGATCACAAAGTTTGCTTTAAACCAAGGCATGAGCGAACATGTTTTGGTGGTATACCGCTACGCTGTTGCCACTCTCGTCATTGCTCCTTTCGCCATTGTTTTCGATAGGTTTCATGCTCCCCCTACCTTCATTTCTAGGGTTGTCTTGTGTTTATTGCGATTACGGGTATAACGGAACGCTATTGCAGTGATTGCGGTTATCGCGGTCATGAGATAACGGTTTCGGACGATATCGCTACCGTTATATAACAAACGCTATTACGATCGTGGCCTGCTATTTAAAACATTTAGTATCTGAACTATTACTTTTGTTTCATTTTGGTACCTATACTTCATTTTTTTAAAATCATATTTAACATTATTTTAAGTTTCGATTTGATATCCAATTGTTAAAAAATTAATAGAATTGTTAACTTGATATTTTTTCCAATGATGATATTATATTACCTTATGATGGCACGTCAATATCACCCTTAAGTTTTTAACAGAAGGGGTACCAAAATAAAATCAAAACTAAACTTTAGATATGATTTTGAAGAAAAAAATTTGTTGCTAAACTTAATGTTTATCCAACATATTTTCAGTCATCTTATATTTATTTTAATGAATTTGCAGGAAGATTAGGCCAAAAATGACATTGTCTGTCTTCTTTAAGATATTGTTACTAGGCTTATTGGAGTAAGTTTTACGTACCATTTCAATCACTTACTTAATTTGTCTCCTCCATCTTGATCATGAACGAATGTACCAAGTCCTCTATAAGAATAAGTACATATCTATTATTTTAGAAAAGTATTATTAAATTTAATATGTTAAGGAAAAAAAAAGGAAATTTACATATTTATATTTTTTTAAAATTAAATATTAAAATTTTAGAATCCATTTTTAAATTTTTGTATCTGTCATATGAATGCTGTAATATTTTGAAAATGTTTCAGGCCGGTACTTGATCAAAACTTATTCTACGGTGGCATGAAGTATACTTCAGCAACTTTCACATCTGCAATGTGCAACGTTCTTCCTGCTTTTGCATTTATCTTCGCCTGGATCTTCAAGTAACCATTTTTACACTATATAACTTTTCTATTTCAAGGATTTGGATAAGAGTTTATATGGGAAAATGGATTTAAGCAAAATAAAGATTTTAAAAAAAGGACTGAGCTTTGATTCCATCGTTTAGGCCCTACCCCAGAATGATTAATTTTTTTTTAAATGAACTGAATTAAATTTTTAGAAGTACAAAATTTAAAAGAAAAATCCATTTAAGAAAAGTCTAAAAAGACTTAAATTGAATGTTTATGGTTTGAGAAGGACTGAAAGGAAATTGTCTGTTTAGATAAGTGAGGACAAGGCTCTTATGCGCCCCTGACTATAACCCCGTGGATAGACCTAAATGGTTTCAAGTTACATTTACATATAGATAGATTTTAGTAAAATTTAAAGTTTATATTTTGGTCGAGTTAGACTTTAGATAAATACAAATAATTTTTTATATCTTATATATAAGACCTGATTCATTAATATCCCTTATTTTAAAGTATACATATATGTGCTTGTATATATAAACAAAATTTAAGATATATATTTTAAGTTGAATAGAATTTAAACAAATTGCACGTAGCGTTCATATTATATATGAATTTGTTCGTATATGTTTCAAGTTAAATTTAAATAAATATAAATAACAATAATATTGTATAAAAGTTTGAATAACAGGAAAACACAATGAGCTCCCACTCAGGCCCCTTCTTCTATCTTTATAAAATAATATATATTTTTACTATTTTAATTATATTTAATATGTTTAATTAATTAAACAATAAAAATAACGTGTTTGATAAAAGTTAATCATGTTATTATGATTTATTAATAAGATATTAAATAATTTTTTAAAGTAATAAAATATACTTTATTTTATAGGAGTACAGTTTTTATTTTTTTTGTTTTTGACTCCAAAAATTTGAGTCGACTCTGATGTGACTCGATACCCAACACTTGTAATTGAAAAGGGATGTGACTGCAGGCTCGAGGAGGTTGACATAAAAAAGAGTCGTAGCCAGGCGAAGATCATAGGAACTATCGTAACAGTTGGGGGTGCAATGCTGATGTCACTGATGAATGGACCAAAGTTGCAGTTGCCATGGACAAACTCAAATCATCATCAAATCTCTTCCACTGCAGGAGCTCAGCAACATCCCATAAGAGGTGCTATCATGATCACCGTCGGTTGTTTCTGCTGGGCTAGTTTCATCGTTCTTCAGGTCAATTCTTCTTATCTTTTATTACCCTCGTATATTGCTTCCATCGGTATGTGCCATATCATTACTATAGGTGACATATTATATATCATCTGCAATTAAATAAATGTGAAAAATTACAATGTCAATAACATGTGTTTACAGTAAGTCAATTAACGATGAAAAAAACAACCGCACTTGTATCCTCGTATTGATAAGAATGTAAATTGCTGATGCGTAGGCAACAACGTTAAAATCATACCCAGCTGAACTCTCCCTAACAGCTTTAATCTGTCTGGCCGGCACTGTTCAAGGAAGCATTGTTTCCCTAATCATGGATGCCGGTGATCCTACAGTCTGGTATATTCATTTCGATTCTAAGCTCTTAGCTGCAGTTTACAGTGTAAGAACACTCTCCCTCATGAATATATACAGCAGAAAAGAGTTAAAAACGTAAACAGCACAGCAATGAAATACTCGAGTAATATCCATGCATGATAATTCAAAAATATTTTGTTTGCTTGTAGGGTATTGTATGCTCTGGATTTGCATACTATGTTCAAGGGACCATTATGAGGAGTAGAGGACCGGTTTTCGTGACCGCTTTTAATCCCTTAAGCACGGTGATTGTTGCCATTTTTAGCTCATTTATCTTATCAGAAACACTCTACCTAGGAAGGTAAATAACCCCTTCGCTGTTTCCGACATGGAAACCGCTGGAAAAAGTTTCATACTTTCTGCACTTACTGTGTCGATCTCTTTGATAGGGTTATCGGAGCCATTGTTATTGTCATTGGCCTTTATCTGGTTTTGTGGGGTAAAAGCCAAGATCAACCTCTATCAAGTCTTATCATCGAAACCAAAGAACCGAATGATCTGAAAATAATTTCAGCCATTGATGGGATCACAAAGGTTTCGAATCAAGAACTTGTCCTGGATTTAGCAAGCAACAAAGTCACACCTACTGATGAATATGTCTGATGATACGAAAAATCACAAGAAAAGAATATCGTGATTTGGGTTTTCTGTATAAATACTTTTAGATTCTATAGCAAGTTTTATGAACCCTAAACTCACCAAGAATGTGAAGTAGATATATTTGCTTGAAAGTGTCCTGCCTTTGCATCCACATCATATGCCCCTTCCAAAAGAAGAAGAACGTCAATCAAACACAGAAATTCAAATGCAATTAAACGATCGAAATTGAAAACCCAGAAAATGGGCCAAATTTGCAATAAAAATCGGATTTTTTTAAAGTTATATTTTCTTTCACCTGGAGAGCAGCGGCCCAAGCAATGAGAAAAGAAGCGATCCAGAACCTTTTGTCTTTGATAAGAGTTTGGGCATCGAATTTTACCATAAACCTATTTATTGTTGTTGTATTTTAGGGTTTTCGGACTTGTAACTTGGGGTTTTCCTGTGGTTGTGTTTTAGGGCTTTTAGATTTAAAGTTCAGAGTTGAAGGATGAGAATTTGGAGTTTTCCGATGCTGTCTCGTTACTAATAGAAAATTCGCTTTCTGCCTTTTTATCTTATTATTTAGGATAAATTATAACCGTAGCAATCAAACATTGCTTCTTTTTCATTTTGATAACTAAATTTTTATTTTTAGCAAAATCATTACTAACATTATTTTTTTTCTATTTCATTCACCAACAGTTAAAAATTAATGATAAGTATTATAAATTTTCTTCAGTCAATTATGGGTAAACTATAGGATTAATCATTTTCATTTTAAATTTTGTATACTTTTTCTCAATGAAATAAAAAATATAATATTTGATCACTTTTATTTTTATTCAATTAAGATGTGGTCATTAAGATTTAACAACTGTTATATTTTTAATAAACTGATGACATAATACATTGACTATATAATTAGAAAGGATAAATTACTCAAATTATCATTAATATTTTAGTAACTTTTTGTTTTCCCCATTGACGTAAAAGAAAAACCGAAGAATTAACATGCCAAAAATGAAATGAGGCATGCAAATCTCTTTATCTTCAACTTGTTAAGTTCATGTTTAAGCATGAAACCAATACCTTTATGCTAAATTTTCTCTCTTTTTTTATCCCTTTCTCCTTGGTTTTGGATAAGTGCTTCCGAGAGATGAATTTAACATCCAATATTTCTGCTGGCTGATCAATTCTCTACTGGTTTGCGTGTTCTTTTTGTTGATGATGATCCGACTTATGATATTGGAAAGGATGCTAAGAACTTTCTTTACGAAAGTATTTCTAATGTTTTTTTAGCCTCGAAAGCTTCCGTTTTAATTACTATTTCTTACGTCAATGAGTCGCTTTTAACTTTTTAAATTTTCTCATTCAAAATGTATTATTAAAAAAATTCAATAAACAACAATTATATTTTTTTTACCCTTACATATCTCATTTTTTTTACATTTATTAAAACAAATTTATCAATCATTTTTAAGGATAATTTTATTATTTCTCTTGGTCAAATATATCTACTAAAACTTTGTGCATATTCATAAGATAAATTATGGGACCTAGGGAATTTTTTTTTTCGTATCAAGATTTTGCATTTTTGGTTTCGAGCTGTGAATATGGCTTTCCTTATTCTTGCATTTTTGTTGAATTTTATTTGTGGGTCCATAGTGGAAAAACAAAAGAAGAAAGATTGATATTTGTTTAATTGATTTGGCAATAGTTTCAAGATTTTGTAAATCTCTCATCTATGATTTTTGTTTTAGTCCAGTCTGTGTTAGACGAATTGCTTCAATGGTGTGGTTCGTCTTGATTTGTGATATGTAAAATGAGGGGATGCATCTTGTTTTTGAGCTTAAGAAGTTGGTTTCATTTGATTTGTGATGGTATTTTTTGCAGTGACCAAATGCAATAGAGCATAGACTGTATTATCGATGCTAAGAGAGAGCAAAAATGGATTCGATATCGTTATCAGCGTCGTCCACATACCAGATATGGATGGATTCAAACTTCTTGAGCATGTTGATTTATAGATGGATTTGAATGCTGGTTTCGAGTACTTTATGTTCATCATATCCAACTTGTATTTTCTGCAGTGATGTTTGCGGGGTGATGAAAATCATATTGTTATGAAGGGTGTTATGCACGGTGCATGAGGTTACCGAATCAAACCAGTTCTTATCGAGGCGCTGAAGAACATATGGCAGCATGTGGTTCGGAAGAGGAAGACCGAATGGAAGGACTTTGGGCAATCGGGAAGTGTAGAAGGAGATCTGCAGCTAAAACAGTCCGATGATGCAGATACCTCATCCTCTGCTAATGAAGGGAATTGGAAAAGCTCGAAACGGAGGAAGGATGATGAAGATGAAACCAACAAGAGAGATGATACATCGATGCTAAGGAAGACGAGAAGGATGATGATGATGAAGATGAAAAATGAAAAATTATTCAAGTATTAGCGACTATTTTTACAATTTATCCTTTTAATTTTATATATTTAGTGTGTTATGTCAACATTTCTTAAAAGTTTAACGGTAATTACTTTTAGTGATTATATCCTAATTAAATTAAAATAAAAATGACTTAAATATTGTGTTTTTTAAGTTTGATGAAGAAAATGTACAAAACTTTAAGGAAAGTGATCAAACTTTTTACCTAAAATTATATAAAAAAAATAACATTTATTCTACGGACGAGGAAAGATGAAAAATACTGAAATTTAAAAACTAAAAATTAGTATAGTAATTAATTTTTAATAATCAATGAAAAAAATGGAAAAGATTAATATTAATGATTATATTGTTAAAATAATAACTCGATTACTAAAATAGGAAAAAATAATGAATTTGATTCGACCTATTATTTATTTATTTCATAAGGATATTTTCATTTTCTCTTATTTTTTACGTTTAAAAATTATCGATTTCTTATATTTAAAGGATCAACCATGTTATAGTTTGTTAAACAAGATGAGACTATCGGCACTTGTACGGTCAGGGAAGTAGACCTTTGGGGAGTATTTGGTGATTTAACCGGAGCGTGGAACTTGGGTTCACGTAAGGTAATTCTAGAGACCGATAATTTGGAAGTGAGGAACCTCCTACAAAAGAACAACAACACGTAGAATCCATAATACATCAACATATATGTGGTTTATTACAAAGAAATTGGGAGGTCAAGATCGAGATTGTCTTCCGAGAAGGGAATCAGATAGCAGATATGGCTAAATTCGTGCGGATAGGAGATGAAAGGTGTCAAGTTTTTTCATCACCATCGACAGGAGTATTAACTCTTCTCCATGAAGAAAACATTAGATATAATTTTAGTCAAAGCGTAAGCTGTCTCATGTTCAAAAAAACAAAACAAAATGAGATTATATAATACAAAAATAACACATAAGTATAATCATTTATATGGTATAAATAAATCATTAATATATTAAAATAACACACAAGTATATGGTAGTTGTCCAGTTTGTTCCCATCCGAGTGAAGACATTTTCAGGCGGTGTCCGACAGCTTTATTGTTCTGGTTACTTTTGACTAAGAGGGACAAGCTTGAGAAATTTCTCTCTATGGATATGAAAGATTGAACGGTTATGAATCTTTCGAAACCCAATGAGTTTATTCGACTTGTTCAGGATTGAGATATCCTTTTTGGTTCAGTTTTGTGGAATCTTTGGCTTCCTCGCAATTCTGTTATTTTTGATTCGTTTCTAAGGGATTCTCGTCCATTCCCATTCGATTAATATTATATAATATATATTTACGTTATTATTATTATTATATTATAACATATATATGTATTTTATTTTTACATTGTGTCAGGCCTAAACATGTGGCCCGAATCATTACAAGAGTACCCAGACCAAGCCCTACGTGCGACCCACTGGAGCTGCAACTTGAAACCCGGATCCACTTGTGCTCGACCAGACATGAAACCCTAGAGCAGATTAGGGTTTCTAGTGTTTTAGCCGCCAGCCGCTTTCCACTACTCTCCAAACGCCGCATCTCTCGCCCCACGCAACCGACCGATTTTCACGGCACCATCAACAACTTGTGTTAATGGGACTCATCCACAACCAACAAAACAGAGGTTTAGTTCGAATAGGATACTCGAAATAGGCCTAAAAATAGGATTTGTGTAACACCCATAACCCGTATAATTATACCTATACAAATTATAGATGTCACCCGAATTTTAAAATCATTTTCTTTCTTAAAATAGTAATTGATATTATAAAAATATCATACCATATAATTTATATTTTGTTATAACAAATTTAATTCAAAAGATTTTTTTATGAATAGTTATGAATAGTACCGTGAACATTGATGAATAGTGCATCGATACGCTACAGTAACTTCTGAAAATACATATAAATTCATAAAAATTAACCTTTCATCACTATAAAAATTTCCAAAATTTATTCAACAACTAAATCGAACATTTTCAAATTACATGCCACTATCTAAAATCAAATTCCATCGTAGGATGTCTTACTGATATTGAAATATACCTCTCGATGCTTGATGTCACTTTGAACTCTTTAATCCACTATTGGCTTTTTACCTACGCGTGAAAATCATCACACGCTAAGTATAAACTTAGTGAGTTAAAACAATATACAGTGCAATACAATTCATGCATGAATTTCAATGACAAATTTAAAATGCCATAAAATCATGTTACATACATGTGCAATAATTTACCATTTAATAATACAAGCTCGTAAGCTTACTTTACCAATATACTTACCATTATTTCCATAAACATGTACCATAGACAATAGCCCAATATACAACACTGAGGACCCTGGGTACACGAGTCAAATATAAGCACCGTAGTGCTAATCTGTATGACACATAAGGTCGTGTCCACCATTTGTACTAGGTATCCTTAAGTACAGTTCCGTATGGCACATAAGGTCGTACCCACCATATACACTAGGTATCCTTTAGTGTATCCCGTATGCATCCTACTGCTGGACTCTATGGCATGCCAACTATACCCTGTCCGTTAATAACTACTTGGGCATACAATCTATTTTATTTAATCCATCCATTGCAAAGTATATTATCAAAATTTAACATTGGCCAGTTCATACCCGAAATAATATTCATGGTAAAATATCATAATTTTCATAATCAATGCATTATATTTTCAACCTTTGACATTTTTTTAAAATATGTCAAATATATGGTAAATGACATAAATATCATGTCAACATAAACAAGGTCGACTTATCGCAAGTCTTCCTGATGATGTATAAAACATCCATGTATAATGTCATGCATGTATTGCACTCACCTTGACACTTTATAATTTTCCAAATTTGTGCCTCACTATTGCCCACAATAAACCCACTTGACTTGCTTAAATCGCAAATAAATCATAATCTGTATAATTCACAATTTCAGAATGATACATATGTTAGTATTGTACTAACATAAACATATCCCAAAATAACTCCATAATATACTTCAAACTATTCACCACCAAATACTTTAACACTTATTAATTCTTTTTAGTATTGGAACCAACTTTTCCAATTTACTCAAAATGGTCCTTCACCATTTTATCACTTAGATTCTTAATACCAATAATTCCAGTATAGTACATCAATTAAACAACACTTACACAACAACCCATCAATTTTCCATATTCAGACAACTCGTACTACCTTTAAAGAACCAGTATTATGTATTGATATACACACTGGAATGCAGTTCCGTTTATTCCTTTGAAAACTAGACTAGAATAATAATCTATCCATATAAATAATTCCTTCTAATTCATTATGTACAATTTATAGTGAATTTTCAAAGTTGACCAACAGAATCTATTTTGCAAAATCTGTTGTCCGATTTTTCTCACCTTTCCTTGGTTAAAAATTCATATCTTTTTGTATACACCTTGAAATTGATCCCGTTTATTTTAAACGAAACTAGATCGATATATGAACACAAATATATAAAAATAACCTCAAAATTATTTTTATATAATTTCTGGTGAATTTTTGAACCTACTTCCAGATTCAAAATCCAAACTGTTTTCTTTAACTTCATTCTTAGGTTGTTCATCAATGCTTAGAATCAATTCTTTAAAATCACTTAACTCTTCAAAACCCATAAAACACAAGAATCAAAATCCCCTTCATCAAATCAAGATGAACTTGAACATGAAACCCTAGTAATATTCATGTCAAAATGTAGAGAATTGAACTTAGAACATTTTTCCTAATCACACCCAAGTCTAATTCTCAACAAGATTACTTCAAAAATTCAAAACAAGAATACCTACCTTGCAAGCTTAGAGGTGTCGGTCTTGGATGAAGAAGAAGCTTAAGATGCTTCATCATATTTGATATTTTAATGATAATTAGATCTAGCACATGCTTAATATAATATCATAATGGAAATTTTTTATTCAGCACTATAGGAAATTCCATTTTTACCCTTAATGAATCTCCATAATCACCATAAAACCAAACCATCTGATCCTTATCATAATACAAAGTCAAACATAAATTATTTTGACTTTTATTTCTGAAATTCACATTGAATTTTCAAATCTTGCGTTTTAGTCACTAAATTCCACTGTTTCGGTTAAATATAAAAAATTACACAATTCCAAACCAAATTTCTCTGATCCAAAATATTAAAAAAATATTTCCAACCATTTTATAACATCCTTCAAATTTTTGTAAAATTCCAATTCTATCTAAAATAACGATTCCTTATCGGCTTTAACCCTTTCTAACTTTTCTTTACTAAAATTCCAAATCCAAAAATATGATTTCTATAAAACTCCACTCTCAAGAGTAAACCATCTATTTATGGAATAAAATTTCTTTTTAGGAAATTATCACTTAATTCCCTAAACGTTTTCCAAAATTTCCATTTTGACCATCAAACTTTCAAAATTTTCATTTTGGTCATTATTTAATTTTTTGGGGTATTACAATTTGTTCTAATATAAATTGATGTAAACTCATACAAGAAAATACACAAATCCTACATGAAATACATACGAAACTTACGAGGCAAATACGAGAGTATTCGAAGCATTTTGTAACAACTTCGAAGTGAAATAAAAAGGTATTATTTTCTTTACCTCGTTCAGTTTTCGGTCTTGAATGCGTAGTTTGTGGCTTTCTTCTTTCTTTTTTTGGTTGATTTGAAACACCAATGACAATGGGGCGAGTGTTTCTAGATATATAATCTCAGATCTAGCCCTCCCCGAGGTGTTTTGGAGAAAATCGTTCAAAGTTTTGATCAGTGGGTGAAAAAAGGTTTTCAAAAACATAAAATTTTTTGTGGGCCACCGACTTCTAGAAATTACGGCGGCGTGTTCTTCATTGCTGAAGAACACATGAACACCCGAGAGAAAATGAGCAAGGGGGGTTTGATTCATTTGCAAATGGAAAAAATAAAAATGGTGTTATGGCTGTTGGAATTTATACATGACCCGTGGACCCTTGGCAACCCGCGCGTCAACTCGACCCGGACACCAGGGTCCGCGTGTTTTTGTGAATAAAGGGGGAAATTATTTTTTAGTCCCCCCGCATTTAAAATATTTTATTTTACCCTTTAATTTTAGTTTTTAATCCAAATTCTTCTTAAATTGGTCATTAATTTTGATTTTCTTTTAATTTAGCCCTTTTTATTAATTATTATATTTTTCATATATATATATATATATATATATATTATTTACTATTTTTTTGGGATTTATTATTATTATTTTTATTATTTTTATATTTTTTTTTTGATTTTTTTGATTTTGATTTTGATTTTTTAGTGTTTTATTTATGTGTATATATATATATATATTATTTTTATTTCTTTATTTGTCTTATGCATATTCTAATATATATATATTTTTTATTTTTCTTTTTTAATATTTTATATATATATATATATATATATATATCTTTTTTACTATTATTTTCCTTTCTTTTATTTTTTCTTTATTTTATTTTTATTTCTATTTTATCTCTTTTCTTTATTTCTTTATATTTATTTATTTATTTATTTATTTTTTTGTCTTTATCTTTATTTTTTATTTCCTTTTTATATATATATATATATTCTTTATTTTAATTATTTTATTTTATTTTTATCTATATTTTTATCTTATTTCTTTCATTTCATTTCATTTATTTTATTTCATTTATTTCATTTCTTTTATTTCCTATTTAACACATTTCTTGACTTCTTAAGGGTACACTTTTAAATCAATCAGAGGTAAGTAATTTAGATCATTATTTTATATTTTACTTTAACTTATCATTTTCTTAATTAAAGACAACTAGAAACTAACTAGTACCGAAAGGGTAGTTCAAGGGTACTAGTCCTTCCTTGACTGTGACCGACTCCCGAATCTGACACATCTTTGGTATAGCACATATGATGTAAGATGGTATCCGATCAACCTAAGTTTTGTTAAAAAATAAATGGTCGGTGGCGACTCTAACGTTTTTTCAAGTCGAAGCCCAATTCAGAGACACCCTAAAGACGGTTCCGACAGCTTGGCAACTCCACTGGGGATAGGTAAGTGAATTAGGCTAATGTAATTTCCAGTTGTCTTTTTAATGAAAATGGTAAATTTTAAGGTAACTTTTCGATCCTTATTACTTACTTTTGATTATATTTTCCAAATAAATAGTTGTACTAATGATTTCTTTCAATGGTTTTAGTTTATCAAACTTCTTTTTCCACCGAAGGCTCTATACCTGAGATCTAAACCCATTTTAAGTGGGGGTGTGATAACTCCGTAAAAAGGTCATATTTGAGACCTTTTCACTTAAGTTATTGACTGTATTAGAGCTCATATAGGATCATATAGATGCATTTAGGAGCATATAGTTATATGTGGTGAAATTCTGTTTGCTGCGACATTTTATTTTGTAATCAGTGTTGCTTTATGGGGAAGGTGTTTGTCTGGTGATGTGCAGGATTTGGGAGCAAGGAAAAGAAAAAGGGAAATGCCATGACATAAGGAGACTGTTGAGTAGAATGCAAATGCCGAACCAGTTGGCATTTCGAGAGCGATCAAAACGAAAGAAGAATATTTTTAGTAAGAGCCAGCTGTCATGGCATAAAAAGTGCTTTCAACAATCAGCCATAATGGAGGGGCCAGTTACCATCTTTCCACCGACTCTCACATAAAAGGAATGAACTTTAGGGTGCTAGTGTAATTTTAACACAAAACCTTAGGTTCATTCTCCCCTATAAATAGAAGATGAAGCTTGAATTTTTTAGGAGACTTGGAGATTTTTAGACAGCCACCAAGAGCCTAAAAATTCAGAGAAAAAGTTCTCTCTTTTTCCGTCAATCGTTTTTGCCTTATTTCGAACTAGGCGTTCGATATGAGCTAGATCGCTGGGACTGTTCGTGGTGGTCGAGGGAAGCTCCGACAGTGCACATCGAAGGCTTTTCCTCATTCCCTTTACTCTTTGCTTTTGTTATTTATTATTTGGGTTGTAAGGAACGGATTAACTTGCTTTGTGCTTGCTTATTTCGAACCCCACCATGAACTAATCTTATTTGGTGGGAGTTTATTTTGGATATTTGAGTTTTTCTTTAATGAATGGTTATTTTTCTATGTTATATTCTGTTTTGTTTATGAAGCTTAGCACCTTAAGGTTGTAGGAGCTACGAGAGTAGTCGTTCCTTAAGAGATTACTTAGTGTTCGAGAGAATGTCTAGGTAGCACATCCTTAGTGTTCGAGAGAAACTAAGGAGGAACCACATAAACAAGGGGTTCTAGATAGTAACTAGGCCTAGTCCACCTTAGAGATAAGGCTAGGATTTCATTCGACTAAAAGAAGTTGTGCATGAGCGATAGGTTAGATGTTAATGCTGCCGCAAAAAGGTATTATCGAGACATATCCTGTTATCTGGACCAATAGGATCACTGCATCTTCACTTTGTCGAGTCCCTTACTAGAGATAGCATAGGCCACCCTAGTAGACTCTGTCGGGCAGATTAGGCATAGAAGTAAGATCATTTTGAGAAGTAAACTTAAATTTCCTAAGTAACTCATATCACTCATTCCCATAGTAGCTTGTCATGTGATGAGTCTAAAGTCCTTATAATCAAATCTAGTATTTACAATTTATTTTTCCTTTACATATTTATTTGATTGCAGTGCACCAATTCCTTTGCCACAACATATCCATTTGCTACCACATTGTCATCGTTCCATTTCTATACCATCCATTCATTTTTCCATAGCATTATCATTTGTATATATACCATCTCTAACTTTACTTAGGTGATAGAGTAAAGTGACATGACAAACTTATTTGATTTCCCCCAATCCCTGTGTAGAACAATACTCACTCATCACTTTATTACTTGTTTGATTGTGTATACTTGCACACATATCCGCACCATTTATAGTACTCACAAATAACGGACAAGTTTTTGGCGCCGTTGCCGGGGATTGGCAACTGGAAGTTAATTTGTTTTGTCAAAACATTTTTATTTTACTTGTTTATTTTTTTGTATAGTTTTACTTGTTATTTTCCTTGTCTTTTTTTCAGGTTTTTATTTTACGTGCTCAAGCAAATATGTATCAGATCAGAAATCAAGGATTTCGTCATAAGGAAGATTAGAATGCCGAGTCAAATCTAAATGCTGGGAATGTAACCCAACCTCGTGCCATTCGTGATCACTTAAACCCTA